CCCAGAAGACAGAAATCTTCATACTCTGATGACGGAGGCAGTATGACCTCTGAAACGTTGGTTAACATCGACCAGACTACACAGCGCAATAACCCAGAAGACGGATATCTTCATACTCACCGCTGTGAGAACCTCAAGTCTTACAAAGAAGCATGAGTTAGACAGTACATGTACCATGCATGGGGAAGTTAAGAAATGCATTCAAGAAACAAGAAATGAATATACTTCTTGGGATACCTAGGCATATGCAAAAATAATATAAAAATGTGCCTCTAAGAAATATGGTGTGAGAGTGTAGACTGCATTTAATTTGTTCAGGATATGGTTGAGTGGCACATTGTTGTAAATGCAGTAAAGGGCAGGGAATGTATTGAATAACTGAGAAACTGTCAGTTTTCAAGAAGGTCTCTTTCTCCTCATTGTGTTATCCATGTAAATCTTGAATTGTGAACACCAGCTACAGATATTCTCCAATTTAGATTTCCTATTTGTGCATTTTTATGTATATTCTATTTTTATTCTTAAAAACATCTGCTAATGCATGATACCCCCTTACATAAGGAGCTAGTGTAGCTCAGTCAGTATAGTGTCTAACTACATACTGGATGATCAAAGTTCAATCTTTGGCAGGGACAAAGGACTTTTCTTCTAGCCTCTGCATCCAGACTGGCTCTGGAACATATCCAGCCTGTCCAGTGAATACCAGGGCCTTTTCCTGGGGGTAAAGTGTGGCCAAGACATGATACTTATCACTCAGCCTCTTCTAGTGCCAATGTCAAGAATGAATAGGAACTATGCTTCCTATCCTGCAAACACCTCCCCTCCATGACATGTAGTGGGACAGCTGTACTTTATTTTCCACTTTACATATGCAGTTCTTTCTGCATTCTGCACCTTATTCTTCCTCAAATCATTTCCATATTTGTGATACAACTTTTGCATAGGCTGTCTCTGTTCTCCACTTTTCTTGAATAGTCCAAGAAGCTTTATGGGTATTTCATGTTCCAATTCAATGTGTGAATATTTTCTCTGTGTATCATGCATAATGTCTTATATAAGTAATCCTCCACACATCTACTCAGTGAAGTTTTCCACCTAAACTGAAAGCAAATATTTTTTTAAAAAACCAAATGTGGCCACCCAGATTTTGTTGTTCATGAATGCAGCCATAGCAAAACCTCTTGCTCGTAAATATGGCTATGGCATATTTTTGCTTGAGAGGGATTGATTTATCTAACTTACACATACTATGAAGTATTATTCCTACTTCCAGGAGGAACATTTGAACAACAGAAGCTTTTGAAAGAGCAGGAGGAAATAAGGAGAGGCTTAGAGAAAGAAATTGACAACCTTAATCTGGAAACTAATAAACAAAGAAAGATGATTGATAGTCTTGAGAAAGAGAGAGACAGGTGGGGTTACATTTTACTTATTATTTATAATATAATATTTTCACTTAAAAAGTTGGTTGTCAAGATGTGTCAATGTGTAAGGTTTTGTCTGAAAGTGTGATATAAATATGGTGATAATTGCAGACATTGATCTTGAAAACTTAAAGTAAAGTGAGAGAGGAGGATATTGCAGAACTAGTATATTATTTAATTATTTAAGCTATAAATGAACCACAAGACACTAGCCAGACTTTGTGTCAATTAATGCACAGTATATTTTGATCCACATGGACTGTAATATCCTATTTTACACACATATATTATAAAAAAGATGCTGTTGAAGGACCATGTGGACGACAAATGTTTGGGCATTAATCAACAACATAAAATCCAGCTAACAAACATTTGTCTGTAATTGTTCATTTAATGGATAATGCAATGGTATGGAATTTTCACTCTAGACCCTGCTAAGAGTGCTACACATTGTTTACCATACATTTTGGTGTTGAATTGAATTTTTTAAATTTGGGTGTATTTTTGTTTATTAACATATTAGAAGTACCATCTGGTGTATAAAATACTGTAGTTAGTAACTTTGTGTAAAAGACAAGGATAAATTGGTGAATTATGCATCTAGACTTGACAACTTCTGTAACAATACAATTTTATTTTCTTTACTATTATATAATTCTTTTAACAAAGGACATACTAAATTTTGTTACAAAAATTTGTAAAATTCATCTGTGCAATTACATCTGCTTTTTCATTAATAATTTTGTCAGTTGCTGCTCCATTTTTCACATTCACTTCCCCTATCCAAATAACTAATACATCTTCCAAGGTCTTCAAATTTTGCATCCTTCAACAATTTTACATTTTTATGTGTTTTGCTTTATTATTTATTTTTTTCACAAAGAATACCTCCAACATATTGCTAACTGATGGATGGTTTTATTCCATAAATTGGATAATTAGATGGAAATATTTTGCTGACTTTTCATGACTTTGGACATGAAATCTGGTGCTAATGGAAGCCACTGATAGTGTCTGCACATGTAGATATTTCTTTACTCCGTGATAGGCCTATAAATTATATTCAGATTACATGTGTTTGCATCCTATATGTTTTACTCAAGAAATGTGTGTAGAAAACATTATCATTATGAAATAGTACACTAGTCTGTGGAACAACGAAAGAGGGGTGATCTGTTACTTCTGCCAGAATCCTTGAAAGTTTATCTGCTACTGTATGCAGCTTATTATCCATAATGTTGCAACTTTCAAATCAATTCCCCTTCCAGTAACAAGTTCATTTGCTGTAACTGCCTGGATTTGGAATGTTGCTACTGACTCAAATAACAATCCAATTCCATCCCCAAATGACTATATGTTGTTGTTGAGCTGGCATGGCACTGCATTGGACTTAATTAAAAAGCTATGGCAGTATCTTAAAATACCAAAGGACTGGGATACAGGTTTGGTTATAAGTATACACAAAAAGGACCTAAAAATAAATGTGATATTATAGAGTTATCACATTACTATCAATTGCTTCCAAATTGCATGCATACATACTTAGAAATAAATTGAATTCAATCAATGAAACATTTTTAGTGGAAGAACAATGCAGTTTTATGAAAGGAAGAACTGTGGATGCCATATTTACACTTCAACAAATTATCAATAAAAGAGTTCAAGCTTCCAACATTTATATTATTCATTGACTATGAGAAAGCCTGTGACAGTTTAAATCATGAGAAACTATGGCATATTTTAAATGAAGAGAACATACAGTCACAATTAATAAGAGCAATACAAAGCCTACATCAAAATTAAAAAAAAAATTGTATTAATTATTTAAATGGACAAACCTCAGAACCCATAATTAACAACAAAGGGATAAGGCAAGGATGTGGACTGTCCCTATCTTTATTTAAAATATATACTGACAAAATAGAATGAAAACAAACTATAAATAATGGAATTGAGTTAATAAAAGATAAAGTAATTGAAACAATACTGTATGCAGATGATAAGTACTAAAACAAAATCTGAGGACACACTACAATTTGGAGCATACCAATTAAATTAAACTACATGGAAATATGATATGAAAATTTCCACTTTAAAATCCAAAACAATGGGAATGTGTGGAAAAAATATGCAATGAGTGAAAAATAGAAATAGAAGGGAAAATAATAAAGTAAGTTTCTGATTTTCCATACTTGGGAAATAAATTTTCAGAACACAAAAATGATATAGATAAATTACAGAAATATAATAAGATGAATGATGTTATTAGAAAACATTTCGGTGAACAAATGACAGTTGATATGAAATTGCGTTTACGCAATATTACTTAAAAATTAGCACTCAGTTATGGCAGTGAAATATGGATTTTAAAAAGAAAAGATACTGAAAAACTTGAGGCAGCAGACATTCACATTTTTCAGACCACTATTAGGTTTTACCAAGCTGAACCATCAGAGGAATGCTGATATTAGAAAAACTTCAGGTTCTAACAATTATTTATTTTAATCCGTCTTATCACAATATTTAAAATTTCTTATAATTAAGATAATAAAATATCATTGATGTTCCATATCGATTGATCGATTTACATTTTGGAACATCCTTTACACAACATGTTTCAGTTTTTACAAAACCATCATCAGGTGTATAATATTTACGAACTTAAAACTCAAATATGATTCCATTTGGTGATGTTTCATGCCATTTGTTTTTCAATTTTGGGCGAGGTGTTGTCTTTTCTTAAATTTTATCAGATGTACATATCGGTCATAGATGTAGGAGTGATTGTTCCGATATGTCCAGAAGTACTACTGTCATCGTATAGGTGTGGGTCAGGTTCTAAATATAGATGAATAAATACAAAAATATCAATAAAATTGGGAAGACAATTTGAAATGCATGGACAGAAATAGGCTTCCAAAATTGGTGTTCCATTACCAATCACGAGGATGTAGAGACTTGGGATAACCAAAGTGTTTGTGGAAGTACCAGGAACATCGTATCTTGGGATTCAAAGGAACAGGCCATATGACCTTAACCCTAAATAGTTCATGATGATGATGATGCTTTTCACATAAGTTACCCTTTAAAATTGCATAGGGGAATTCTGTTATGAAGTTTTAAGAGTGCAATGAGAGAGCGGTGATATATGAAGGGGCACTCTATTGGGGTTTGACTGTTAATACAAGTGCAATTTTAAGATAAGTTACTGAATTATTCAGCTCACATTTTAGTATTAGTTTGATCAAAGGAAGGAAACTGATGGGACTGACATGTAACTTTGATGGGGAAAAAAGAAATGCATACAGAATTTTGGTGGACAAATCTTTTGGAAAGTGGCCACTTGGAAATCTGAAAGATGATGAGAGAATATTATGAAAATACATTT